CTTATGTTGGGATCAGTGTCTCTGAAGTTTAGTCACAATATTTATCGGTCAAAGGTGATGCATCCTGTAGAATTGCTGTGTAGATTTGTACCAATACTTATTGATAACTTTTCCATCTTTATAAATACTTGATGTGTCAAGCATATATGACCACAATTAAGCTTCATTTTGCTTGTATATAAGTGCTCTGGTCAATTTGCTGTGCTGAGGTAATCTGGGTTTGCTGTAACACTGAACATTGTGCCATTGGGGTCTCAAAGTCCATAATGGAAAAAGTGTACTGTAGGTGTGCCTAACTCCATAATGGCTAGCCAACATGGGCAGTCTTTGGTGGAGCTCCCAGATTGATTCAGGTTTGGAAGCAGGAGTGGCATCTGCTTCCTAAACCACATGCCTCTGGAAAATTGATGAACTTGGAGAAATGACGGTAGTTATAAAAAGGTTTTACACCTTTTGTTCATATATAAATATATATGGAAGGCCTTTGTATTTAAAAGTTGATTGGGCCCAAGGGTCTAGTGTTATTTTATTTTGGAGAAACATTCTTCTAAGTTGTACAGCACTCCTCTGTCAATTTGCTGCTTTGAGGTAATCTGGGTTTGCTATAATGCTGAACCCTGTGCCACTGGGAGGGTCAAATACCATAATCGCTGCCCATGATGGACAGTCATTGGTGGAGCTCCCAGTTTAAGACAGGTTGGGAAACAGGAGTGGCATCTACTTCCTAAACCACATGCCTCTGGAAACTATAAACTTGGCGAAACAACGATAGTCATAGAAAGGCTTCAGGCCTTTTGTTCATAGGGTCGCTATGAATCATGCTCAACTCAACAGCAATCAACATCAAGAACAGATAGCATAAAGTATAATGTACCAGGATGCTAAATAAAATTTCAGTTATAACCCATTAGTTGCTCCATGAAGGAAAGGCATAGTAGCCTGCTTTCATTATAGTCTTGGAAAATTTATGGGGCTACTCTGTGCTATAGAGTCATTGTGAATTAGGTTTGTCAGCAACTATTTGTTTTTGTTAGACTTGTGATGGTTAACTGTCAATTGATCATAAAAGCTAATCTAATTTCATCAATTTACTAATTATCACACTACTGCTTTCCCCTCCATTATCAAGCTTTATATGAGAATGCAGAGTGTAAGAAAAGAGAAGTCACACAATGATTCTTATTTATGTTTTCTGTATAAGTGTATTGCGTATAATGAATCTGTTGATAATGGTTGTATATCTGATGGGTATTTTCTGCAAGCATGGTATCATCTCATATACTGTGAAGCCAAATATTTTATAAAAACTCCAATATGCTTATTGTTGTTAGGTGCCATTGAGTTGAGTACAACTCACAGCAACAGATCTGAACTCTGTCCTATTCTTTGCCAACCTCACAATTTCTAATAAGCTCAAGTCCATTGTTGAAGTTACTATGTAAATCCTCTCTGGTTGAGGGTCTTCGCCTTCACCTTTCCCCCACCTATTCAAACATGATGCCTTTCTCCAAGGAAGAACCTTTCCTAGTAACATACCCGAAGTAATATAAGATGAACCTTCACCATCCTTGCCTCCAAGGAACACTAAGGCTACCCTTCTCCAAGATATATTTGTTTGTTCTTTTGACAGTGCATGGGATATTCAGCACTCTTCTCCAACAAACATCAATTCTTCTGTCATTCTTATTCATTTTCCACCTCTCGGCAGCACAGTAAGTGCTTGAAAAGACCATGGTCTGAATCAAACACACCTTACTTCTCAAACAAACTTCATTACACCTCATTAATTTGGAGAGGTCCATGACTGAAGATTTTTCCCAGTGCAAAACCTCTCCTGATCTCCTGACTGCTGGTACCAAGTGTGTTTATTGTGGATTTAAGCAAGATGAAACTGTTAACAGATTCAATCTTTTTTCCATCTATTATGATGTCACCAACTAGACCAGTGATAAGAATTTTTGTTTTCTTGATGTTGAGATGCAGTCTGTAGTGATGAAGGCTACAGTGTTTGATCTCCTGCAGTGGGTAACTCAAGTCCTCCTCACTTTCAACAAGTAAGGTCGTATCATCTGCATACTAAAGAAAATTGAAAAAAGGTTATTAAAGTCACTCTCAATTATTGGTGACAAATTCATCCTTAATCAGCTTACTACATGTATTTTATATATGCAGATTAAGGATAAATTTGTCACCAATAATTACGAGTGACTCTTTTATTTGGTTTGCCTAAAGACTAGTTTTGTCTTCAAGTATGAATTCTTTTATCCTCCCAAAGGCTAGTCTTCTGAATTATTTTTTAATAGCTTTCCAGTCCAAAGGATAACGCCAGCTCACTATTTCATTTATTTTAGATTTTGCAAGCCAATCTATCTAAGGCTTTTACGCACACTGTCCCGCATTTTTTTAGCTCTTCCAACTAGGGTAAATGACAATCAAGAGATCTGGATGGTTTCTCATCCCAGATCAGCTACCATTAAGCTACTGATTTAAAATGGTCATCCAGCCCATCTTTGTTAACCAGAATTCTCTAATCTGTATAGTAATTAAAGATTATCTCTAAGCCTCTATTTTTAACATTATTTGGAATGCATTAAGAATTGTGAGAAACTCTGAGGACACTTAGAACATGTGACTAATTTTGCAAGACTGTTCCACTCCCAAGAGAGCCTGAACCAGTTTTAAGTAATGAGGGAAGGCAGTGAGTGAGTTGGGGCTTAGCAGGAAGAGGTGGTAACCGACAAGTCAACTTTTCCAAAGCCCGTTGGGCCTTTTTCAGGAGGAGGCTGAAAACCAGTATTGACGACAGAAAACCACTTCCGCCTAGGGTGCGTATGACGTCAGGACCAAAAGGAACAAGACCAACCACCTAGAAGCCGAGGAAGAAGAGCTCGCGAGAGTTCAGGGAGGGCGCCCCGAGATTCCGGCGCAGCAGCCGGTCCCACCTCCGGGGGCGGGGCGAGGGCGGAGCAGGGGAAAAGGAGCGGACGGGCTCCGGCCGGCTGCGGTCCGTGCAGAGGCTGAGCCGGCCGCGGGCGCGACCCAGGCAGGTGAGTACGCGGATGCGGCGCTCAGTACCCGCGCCCGGGGGGCCCGGCGCGCAGCATCTGCGCGGTCTGTGCGAGCAGGAGGGAGCCCTGAGTCTGCCTGGATGTCCAGGGAGAGCCGTGAGAATTTCGGGCTGGGAATGTCTCCGGTGGTGCTGCGGCGACGGCCTTGGCCCTCTTGTTCTTCGGGTGCTCCTGGCTCCAACTGTCCGGAGAGGTAGCAGGGAACCGGGGGAGGAATCTTTGTCCTTCTCTGTGCCTTTCCCCTTCCACTCCTCTGTCCCCGAGCCTCGCGCTCCTGGTCCCTGCCTGGGCTCATAAACAATAACAAATGTCTCGATCGTCGCCTGGCATCCCTTGCTCTCTCGTCCCGTGCCCTCTAGCCTGTGCCACCGGGAGAGATCCTAGGCACGGCTCTTAAATTGTGGAGGCTGTTTGTGTTCCACTCCTAAAAATTGATGCGTCAGATTGCTAAACATCCCTCCAGTAGGCACAGTAAAGCCGCCCAGTCACACGAGCTATGGAGTGTTCAAAACCAGTCTCAAAATCTGTCCCTTCCAGTGGTGCCATAGACTCTTAACATCTTTTTCTCCCAGTCTTTTTCTTTTTTTTCATAACCTTTAGTAGCCGTGAGAAACCGGAATGGTTATTTGGAAAGTAAATATGAAAGGTTGTGCCCGGCTAAAGTAAAGGACATTTCACCATTAAAAAGTTGTCAGGTTGACAGGAAAAGGACCAACTTTATTTTAAAAAGCAGTGGTCTCGAGTTTACTCATGCCACTGTTGTTTTGTGAGATTGCTTTTTTTTGTTTGTAGAAATTATTATCAAAAGGAATTGTGTGTACTGGAAGTAGTGGCTTGCCCAAAAGTGAGATGATGTGGCTCTCCCTTTGAGAAAACTAGGAATCCACACTCTTGTCTGTTTCATATAACTTGTGACAAGTTTTGATTAGAAGCTCATTTGGAAAAGGCTTGGGTGTGAACTTAATTACTGTTAAACTCTGAGCAAACAACTTTATCTAGATTTACACCTCCTGGTTGGGCTCTGGTGGGCTAGCAGTAAAGAAATAATCTACCAGTTCAAAGGCCCGTGGTTCGAATCCAATAGCTGTTCCAAGGGAGAAGAACGTGCCATCTCTGTTCATGCAATTTATAGATTCTAACAATTTGCTGGAAACTGAATTATGAGTTGGTTCTGACTTGGTGGCAGCGAGCTTGATTCTAAGATGGAAACTGAAGAGTGATATTTTGTCCTGTGGAGTGATGGAGACTTTAAACTTACCAAGTCTCTATTTTAAGGCACTATTATATACCCAATTTTTTTCACCCCAATATAGTATTTGCAGGAGAAGGATGGTCAGTCTCCTCCTGTTTGATTAGCTGCCTCTGGAAACCCTCCAGATGGTCAGCCATGGGTCAGTTCTGACTCAGTGGTACACAATAACAATAACAAATAGTATTTAATTTTTCGTAAACATTTAAGCTATAAAGGTACATGAAACACTGGCAACTGTCTTGTTTTTGACTGTCCTTTCTCTGTGTGCCTCGGGATACGAAAACAATTACGTTTATTATAGTGAGCTTCTAAGTAGCTGTGAAGTACTGCATGTAAAGTAGGCATTCTTGTTATTCTTTGGAAGGAGAGATGGTAAATTAGGATGATACTTGTTCATTGCGTATGTTCACCAGACTACTATGGTCTGAAAACAATGTAGCTCTCAAAGTTTGCACAGTAGATATTTAGCTTGATCCGGCATAGCCCTCTGTGTCTCTTTTTTTGAGATGGCCGATAATGTTTCCCAGTGAGTTGTAATGTGTTTAGAATGAGAAACAAAGTTGTGTGTAGTTTTGTACTCTTTTGAAAGGCGCTGGCACTGGAGAATGAGAAAAATAAGACCAGAGGAGCCCATATTAAGTGAGTGCAATTCTTCTCTAGCTTGCTGCTTTAGCGATTTTGTTTTTTAATCAGAAATGAAGACTGGGCTATTTGTGCAAATAAATAGATGTCCTTTGCAATTTTTTTGTTGTTGTTGAAAAAACAATTTCAAAAGGTGGGACAGTATGAAAGCAAATTGTGCTTTTTAGGAGATTGTGACAAAGCAACTGACTCAAGTCAGCCATTTGTTTTCAGAAAAGTTCTGTTCACTCTAAGGACAGTTTCATTGTGTTAGTGACGTTGGATAAGGACTCTAGAGAGAGCTTTCCCTGTGATGGAGGATAAGCGCACAGGTATGGGTGTGTGTGTGTGTGTGTGTGTGTGTGTGTGTGTGTGTGTGAAAGAGAGAGAGAAAGAGAGAGAGAGAACATCTAACCAAATGTATGCTGCTTCAACAGTTTCTGCATGTACAGTTCTGTGACATTGGTTGTATTTTTCAAATTGTGCCACTTTCTCTGCAACCCTGTCCAAACTTTCACCCTTAACACTAACTTGATGCTCCACAGTCGTTTCTCATTTAACCTTTGCAGTTCTTGTCAGTTTACTGATTTCTCAAAGAATCCAATGCTTAATACAGATATTCTTTTCAAATTACTATAAACCACTATTTGGTTCACAGATGACTTCAGGAGGTAGTTTGAGTTCAGGGTTTAAAGATTTTCCTGGGGCAGTAGTTTCTGAGGTCTTCTGGCCTTATAGATGCCAGAAAGTCTGGATACTTAGAGAATTTGAAATTGAGTTGTTAAAACTGTTGTGGTTTTTATGTGAGGTGTTTTTGGGTTTTTTTTTGGAGGGGGGAGTGCCATTTTATTAAGAGGGAAAAGAGAGGATAAATCAAAGCCAGACAGAAAAGTTTACATGACAATGCAACGTTAAAAAGATTTTTATCTTACATAAATAATGTAGGGTGAATCAAGTAAACATATTGCCATCAACCATCACTAGGATTACATTAGAATCAGCAGATGGGCGAGTTATGGTTAGGTTAGACTTGACATATGCAGATATTTTGCTACTATTCAGAGCATCATGGATTTAAAAAAAAAAACCACAAAATTATCAAAGCTAGCTTTTAAGGCATAAAAAGTCTTTAAAATTAACATAAAATGGTATCTTTGGCCAATAGTTTAAAAATAAGTGAACACCTTTCCCCTCACAGCTCTTGTTTAAACTTTTGAGTTTGTTTAGCAGGGAATGGTCAGTACCTAATTGCTCTGGTTAGTTAAGTCTTCTGTCTATAGGTAAACGTTTGCCAATTGACAGAGTATTGTTCAGAACCTTTAGAGGGAAAGAGATATAGAGCAACAATGAATGGCGTTTTCTGCCCTGTACACTCAGATGAACTTTGCTCTGTGTTTCCAAGTATCTATATTCTGATGGAAAGAAAATGTACCCAAGTGTTAGAATAAGTACATTTGTACTTAGTGGGGAAAGACAGGGTGAGAAGGGAGCTCTGGTGGCCTAGTGGTGAGAAGCTGAACTGCAAACCCAAAGGCACGCAGTTCAAATCCACTAGCTACCCACAGGAGAAAGATGAGCAGTCTCTTCCTCTGTTAATTTACTGTCTCTGAAAACCCGCTGTGACCAGCTATGTGTTGGTTCCGATGCAGACGCGCAAAACAGCAGCAACAACCAGACTAGTTAGGAACCTTTGGTGGCCTGGTGATAAGAACCTGTGCTGCAGTGCCAAAGGCATGTGGTTCGAATGCAGGCAGTCTCCTCCTGTGTCATTTAATACCTCTGAAAATCCATGGGGGGTTGGGGGCGGTCAGCTGTGTGTCCGTTCCAACTTGACAGCAGTGAAAGCAAGAGAGCATGAAGAGTGTGAGACTGTGTGAAAGAGCGAGACCAAGCTAGTGAAACTAGTGAGCGAAAGAGAAAAAGAGTGTCATCTGATGATCTAGACATAGGATGGGGGCTCTTGTTCGCACTGCTAACGGAAAGGCTGAGCTTCTCTATCGGTTTGAATATACTAGCAGCCCTGAAGGAGAAAGATAGGCAATCTTTTCCCATTAGGATTTACAGCCTTGGAAACCTGATGGAAGCTTACTGTAAGTTGAACCAACTTGATAGCAGTGAGTGAAAGATGTGTATGATAAAAGAACCCCTGGCGGCATAATGGTTAAGAGCTTGCCTGTTCAAAAAAACCTTTTCAGCCCCAGTCCCTTCGAGGAGAAAAATGAGGCTCTCTGCTATTATAAAGATTTACAGCCTTAGAAACCCAGTTCTTTTTTTTTTTTTTTCCTGTAGACTCACAGTTGACTCAGTGGCAATGAAACACTTACACAGTTAGTCACTATCTTACAGTTGGGTTCTGGTCAGTTTAGACGTTGGTTGAATTCCTTTGATGTCTGCTTTTTATAAGAATAAAGTTTATTATTATTATTACCTTTAATTATCAGTATCTGTACATCTGATCTTTATTTGCTTTAGGAGATAGACATGAGAGTGATAACATCAACAGTTACCTGCTGCAGCATTGTATGTAGTAGATCTTACTAATAATGAAATGGATAAAAAAGTTAGGGCAATATTAAGTACAGTCTGTTGTAATGCAAATAAGTGGTAAATCTGGGATTATCTATACAAGACTTTTTGCTCGAAATCCTTTACATGTTGTACTTATTTGTTGTTGTTGTTAGTGGCTATCAAGTTGAGTATGACCCATAGTGACCCTGTGAACAACACTTTAGAAACCTGTCCTGTCCAGTGCCATCCTCATGCTTTGTGACACACTAGAGCCCACTGTGCCTGTCACTGTGCCAGTCTACCTGGTTGAGGCTCTTGCTCTTCTTTGCCGACCTTCTGCCTTTCTGAGTATTATATCCCTCTCCAAGGAATAGCCCCTCCTGGCAACATGCCCAAAGTATATGAAGCAAACTTTATCATCTTTGCCTCCAAAGAGCACTCTGGCCACACTTTCTCCAAGGCATGTTGGTACTTATCTACTTGGGGTTATAATAACAGCAACTCTGTAGAGTCTTGGCATCTCTCACTGCTGCCGAGTCAGAATCAACTCATAGCTGGCTGTCCAGTGGGTTTTCAGAGGCTGTGAATTGTATAGGAG